CGAAACGAAACGAAACGCAACCAAACCGAGTAGTATAAAACGAAATAAAACGAAACGAAACGAAACGCAACCAAACCGAGTAGTATAAAACGAAACAAAACGAAACGAAAGATAGAAAAGACAAACAAACAAATTTTCTTACCAAAAGCGAACACATCCAGTCTGCATAATGATAACGACACATTCTCTCCTATCAAGCCAACTCTAACAGCATCAGTCTTAAAATCCAAGTCGCACTTTATCGTTTGTTGCCTAGAGTTCCTCGTGCTTACGTTACAATAAATAGATTCCCATGTGTTCCCGTCGTACAACGTGACGTTTGTTTTGAATTTCGTTTGAGTCGTGTTATCTTCTTTCCCCACAAACACTGTCAAAGTGTGGATGTAGGTTTTCTTTCTTAATTTCAACTCAATCCATGGATTCCTTTCCTGAAAAAGAAAAAGGAAATTGGCTTAATAATTAAAAGGTTATAGTAATACTTTGAGAGTTGTGATTGGTTGATGTAAGTGTTCTAGTCACTTTGGGTCGGTAGATCACCACCAACATCACCACCATCATCACTATCACCACCACCATCACAAACATCTTCACCATCATCATTCACATTAACATCATACACTATAAACCTCATCAATCTCATCCCCATAATAACTATTATCATCACTATCATCATCAACGTCGTCATCATCATAATCATCAAAAACAACAACATCGTCATCATCATCATCATCTACACCACCATTACCGACAACAGCAATATCATTCATCTAAAAACCGAATATATTTTTCATCTGATTAATAGCTCCGTGGTTCTCCTAAGCTGTAAGCGCGTGTTTAGCTTTCAACTGAACCAAGATTGTAGATTACCTCCCTGACTCTCAATTCTTTAATACTGCACATGACTTACCATGTTTGAGTGAAAACACGAGCTTGGGTCATCATCAAGAGCCAGCAGCGGTGAAGATCCTTTGGCAATACTCGATTGATTGGTAACATTGGAATAGTCCACTCGAACTGTACAAAAAAAGGATTTTAAATGATTGATTCGATATGACAGGGATCGTTGCGAGATTCCAAGATTCCTCTTGGAAGGATCTGGAAGTGGCGCGCGCATTTTCTTTGCTCAATAACAGGATAACTGGAGAGCCCTGTGCCCTATTCCTGTTCAGATCAAACGATGCTAAGTGTTGATGGAGTCCCTGTGGTTTTGGCGGGAAATTTTCGCGCCTAACTACGCGCGCGCTCGCCCCTCCAACTCTTCGCCACTGTCATCACTTATGAACACTAAACGTAAACTGTGCTAAACCCTTACCCGAAGGATATCCGCAAGAAATGGCTCTTCTCTCCATGAATGGACGAAAACAGATACCCCCAACATCGTATTGACAATCAAGCAATGATTTTTCGCTACCGTTGCAATGACATCTTCCAAAGAATTCAGTTGCGTATTGACTGTGGAATGCTTTCAGGTTGAACCACGGTGATGCCTCACCGCGCATGCCTAGCATTCTGCATGCGACCGCTGACTCTTTCTCGCTCCACTCTTGACTGCATACTGTTAGGGTGAGGTTGCCTCGCTGAATTTCTATAAAGCCTTGGTTGGGAGTTACACCATGGATTAAACGAATACCTGTAATTAAGTAAAAAGACAGTACAGATCATTGATGATACATTGATTCATTGATAAGATATAACTAGCTAAAAACTAGTGTGAGCTGCGTCGGTGTTTCTAATGAAACAGTAATGATGAAAAGGTAAATTATACACCGTGAAAAGATGAAAAAACTTACTGACGTTTCGGACGCTAGTCCTTCGTCGGAGTAAAAGAGGTCTTAAAAGAGGTCCGAAACGTCAGTACGTTTTTTCATCTTTTCACGGTGTATAATTTACCTTTTCATCATTACTGTTTCATTGATTGATTGTACGATACGATACGATACGATACGATACGATACGATACGATACGATACGATACGATACGATACGATACGATGCGATACGATACGATACAATACAATAAACTTTATTTAAGGAGGGTGACACAATTAACCCAGAGAGTTAACTAACACGTGGCCCTCTGGATTGTCATAATGTAGAACTTAGAAAGCGCCTAAACAACGCGAGATATGCTCGTTCTTCTCTTCACACTTTTTGTGCTTTCGTCACTTTCTGACTTCTGGGTTACTGAATGGAGCAGGGAAAAAGCTCTTTTATAAACACACACAAATATGTAAACAATTCAAACTACTGTAGTAGAAAGAGGGCATTGAGTAAACAAACTGCTGGACTATCGAAAATCAAACTGATTAGCTATCAAATGAACAAAACGTGTAAAGATATACATATAAAAACAAAAACAAAAACAAAACAAAACAAAACAAAACAGAGAGACTATATTGAAGATAATTTTAAAGTTCTAATTGGCTAAACTACTTACTGTTTTGTAATGAGTTGCTTGAAGAAACCACCAAAAGAACAGTGACGAGAAGAGCAAAAATATCTTGTTCCCTCATTGTCAGCCTAATGATTTAGTAAGTAAAAAAAGTTTTATGAATTAAACCGGCTAATCACCTAATACAGTCAATGTCATTAACGTTGTCCACCGAAAAAAGACATTTACACATTTACACATTTAGACTAAAAGAAATATCACGTGTTTCATTATGTATTCTTTGCCTCGTGTGCGTCAGCCTGATCTTTAAATGTAACAAATTCAACTCGTGAATCGAAAATCCAGAATGCTCCGACCATTTAGTAAGGATTTAAGATGGAGAATGGTATTTCAGCGTTTGTTTTATGCTAGAACGTTCAAGGAAACACGTGGTGTTTCTTTTAATCTAAATGTCTAAATGTATAAATATGTAAATGTCTTTTTTCGGTGGACAACGTTAATGACATTGACTGTATGTTATGACAAGATGAGCAGGGTTTTTTGTGTCAACTTTGGCACTAAATTCCTCCTATGAAAACGAACTTGTTTTTCTTCGTCTATGAAATATCCCTTAGCCAGTCAAGCATACTATATTCGAGGCTGTGTTCCCCTCTTTTGAATTTTCTAGTTTTCAATGTGGTTAACTTTTGTTCAATTATTTACCGACTTTTTGGACTTTTTCTCGTGTTTTCTTGCACATAAATGAGAAGTCAAACAATTGAAAAAATAGAAAGAATACCTACTCGAGACTACTTAACCACAAATTGTTTCCTAACGCCATCTAAAGCCCGCCTCCAGCTGTCTCCTTAAGGACACACGTGAATATATGATATATTTTTAAAAACATCGCATTTACGGCAAGCGTGAAACGTCAGTTGAAAAGTACAAAATTCTTCAGAATATGTTAGTAAAAAGAATCAAAACCATCTTCATGTAATAGATTAATAAAATAATTCTTGTCTATGGTGAGAAGGTTTGCAAAAGGTAAAGTAAAATATAAGGGAAGTTATGAAAACGTGGTCATAGTGTTTGCTGTCAGTCGCAGGAAGAAAAAACCAATATTATTCTTAATGTTGCTATTGTTTTACGCACCTGTAAAAGGGGATGGGGCGAGACCTCTAGTAAAGATCACGTTTCGGTGACCGTTTATTGAGTTGAAGTAATCCATACAGCAGGACGTAATTTCTAAGTAGATTTAGCTTATTTTTTTGCTTTTTCCTTTTATTTTCCATCGATGATGGTAAATTATTTCTATGTTCTTACACAACACAACACGACACGACACGACACGACACGACACAACACGACACGACACGACACGACACGACACAACACAACACAACACAACACGACACGACACGACACGACACAACACAACACAACACAACACAACACAACACAACACAACACATTTGTGCCCATTTCAGACGATTTTCTCACTACTACACTCAAGTTTTTCTAGCCGTTCGAAGCTCTTCATCGCGTGCGCAAATTAGAAAGGTCACCAAGGATCAATGGTTACCTGAATACCTTACTTGAAATGGAAAAAAAAGCAATCGAGAGGTTGTCCACGATTTCACTAAGAAACCTTTAACTTTCACATTAAATATGGAAAACCGTCGAATGTTGAACATTGCTAATTGAAAGTATAAGGTACAATATTAAATATCGGATTCATTATAAGCAAAGTCGGACAAAGAATGGAGTACGTTGGAAAAAATTCAAAAAGCACAAGCTTGAAATATTGGTTTTTGTCGAGGATGGTTCATTTGATGTGTTTTTGTATAGGATCATTTATTCTCTGTCAGACAGGTGGTATGTTTTTCGACAGATAGGCATGCACGACCTCAAATAATTTAAAAGAGTTTTTACAAGTGTATTGGGTGTGGTATTATAATGTAGATCACCCCCGCATTGAAGATTTTCCTACGTTACTAGATAACTAGTCTACTAGTGTGATTAATTTGGACAGATTGTGTTTGCTGCGTCCCTTCTGCGTGCACAGCACAGTCAGTGTGGGGACTCGATGACGCGTGAACGTTAAAAGAACTCAAAAGATAAGAGAGACAAAGAAACCAAAGTAAAGAAAGAAGGATCAAAGAAAAAGAAAGGAAAACTGAGAAAAGAAACAAAGAAAAAAGAAAGAGAAAAAAAGCTATTTTGATGGGCTATACTCTATCGCTTCGTTAGCACTGTTATCTGGAAAGAATTTAATGGAGTACAATCCATGATTAAAACCAGATTTAATCTATCTAATTTATCTAAGCTCCTTAACATAATAAAGAAAAAAAGAAAATATCGCGTTACCTTTGGAGATTAGGAGCGGCCTTCCAAACGAAACCAGGCCGATTTTCTTTCTTTTTGCTGATTATTTCCTTTACAAAATGAATGTCTTCTCTTTTTTTGTGTGTGTGAGCTGAGCGTAGCTACAAAGAATGCATCCAACTAAATTAATTTTAAGTTTAGTATTATATATAGGAAGCCTTTTTAAAAGAAATGACGGTGAAATGAGATTGTATAGATCATGATGGTTCAGTGTATGGACTGACAAGGATATCTAGCTAATGAAACTGAGAACGTTATCTGCATTTATATCAGTATTTATATCTGGGGGTGCTAGTCTGCTGAACCAGCGTCAGAAATCTTCGCACGGAACAATACTTTCCTTATATCTTGTTTTCTCATTTAGCTATACCGTCGCGGATTCAGGGCACAGCTTAGGAGTATGCATTTATTTACAGTTTGAATTTTTTCTCCTAGCTTTCCGCACATACACTCGTTCTCAAGCAATACAAGATAGATTTTTGGGAAAATACAACAATACTAGAAATGAAATTTAGCTCGTTTTTATAATATCGACATTTAGCTCGCTTTTATAATATCGAGATTCACGAAAAAATCTGTCATCACATCCAAAAATATCAATCGAGTCAAAATAGCCTCGAAAATCAAAGAGCTTTTATATCCTCGAGCGTCTTTTTACTAAGATATTGAATACTTAGCGGTTATTAACCTTACCTTGTTTAGTTAGTGACCCGTTTGAATATGTCTGAGAAGAAACAACTTGATTTTAAGTTTAAGTATGACTTTGCTGTTGCACGGGATCCTTATTTTCTCATTAAAAGTGTCATAATTTTAGCTCTCTCTCTCTCTCCGCCCCTCTCCCTCTCTCTCTCTCTCTTCTTCCTTTCTAGTTCTTTCTTTTTCTCGTTTTTTCGTTTATTCACACTGGATTCTCAAACTTAACAGCAAATTTTATAATTGATGCCTAGATAAAATCATAAAACCGATTCCCAAAGTTAAAATTAACACAAAATGATCATTTATCTTAATACTGACCTTGGTAAATAGCTGTCACTTCTGTCTGTCACAACGTTTCCCTCTCAATTTATGGTCTAATTGGTGACTTACCGACTTAGGGAATATATGCAGAAATATTACTTAACGATATCTATTCAATCTCGTTTCACATCAATACTGACAGTTTCGTTTCGATCTAAAAAGACTTTTTTTCCAATCTAATTCTCACGCGCGTATTTAATATATTAAAATGACGTTGTTTAGTTGCTCTTTCGCTGATTGGTCGGTCGCTTTTGTCTGCTCTCTTTGGATTGGCCAACTACCTGCCAATGTTATAAAGCTTTTTTTTTTCATCGTCTTATGGTCGGGAAGAAAATTGAAATTAGTATTACTAAACAGAATAGAATGCTGGTACAAATAGAAGCACCATTTGCTTAATTCTATAAATCAAACGTCTACAAATTAATTGGAAAGTTAAATAGTAAATAATAGTTTTTATCACTGATTTTTTTATGCAATCATGATTTAATCAAAAAAAAAAAAAAAAAAAAAACACTAGCGAGGTTTTTTTATTATTTTTAGAAAGATTGTCCGAAGACTGTTTCTCAACAGATAAAACCTCTCATTAAGACTAAAAAGTCAGTGACAAAAACATAATTTACTATACGACCTTGCTGCAACTTCAACATGATTTTTACAGTTCGTCAGTTATTCAAGTGAAATTTGCTTTTTCTCGTTTATGTGTATTTAATGCTTTTTTATAACTGCATTTTGATCTCTTCTTCTTTTCCCTTCTAAAAAAAGATTTAAAAAGGAAGAACTGACGAAAAAGATATTTCATTAGAGAGTTTTAGATTGACTTTTTTTCTCCCCGCAAACGGCAAACGTGACCACGTTTTCATCGTTTTCCTGTACTTTATTTTRCCTTTTACAAACCTTCTCACCAAAGACAAATATTCTTTTGTTTTTCTACTACTTGGACTTTATTTGCAATTCTTTTTAAGCTATTTAAAATAATTTTTAAATTGTCAACTGATGTTTCACGTTTGTCGTAAACGTAAATCTAAAACTCTCTATTGTAAATAATTTTTAATGCGCGCAAAAAGGCGCTTGAAACCGTTATTGTCAAATGGCTTCCTTTCCCAACCAATCACGAAGCACAGCAAAACCAAGTAGCCAATCACAATGCACGTGTTATGAAAACGCCATTTGGAAGTTCTTTTCTTTCTTTTTTTTTTTTTTTTTACCCTGAATAAGAAATTGTTTCATAAATATAGCAAACTAAAAAAACGAGTATAAATGTTATTGTGAAAATAAAAACTCTGGGCTACATAGTAATTAGGATAATGTATAAATAGTGAGGGCATAATAACCTTGGGATATTTTTTTTAGAATACCGACGGAAATTGAAATGCAAAACACGTAAGAACTCCTGCTGAAGTGAGCGTTAATAGGTTCTACAGGCCATACGATATACGATAAGGATTCTGTCAAAAATGAATATCAAAATAAATGGGGACAAACTATTGAACGTTGAAACAATCTCTGGGCTGATCTACGTCTGGCTATGGCGATTAGCGCAACGTAAGTTTTTGAGGACTTCTGTCAAAAGTAGCTTTCAAACTAAAATATGAATGACTCGCATTTTGCCGGAGGCTGGAGAGGAAAACTTGACTCAGATCTCAAAGAAAAGAAGAGGCAAACTAAAGATAACGGTGTTTATAATAGCGATGATGATATAATGATAATGTCATAATTTTCCAAGTAAAGTGGCAGAAAAAAAAA